TAATTAACCAAACAATTCTTTATTTATCTATGCCTTTTAATTTTCCTTTAATTGATTAAGTCTATACTGTAGGTAAGATAGAGCCGGATAGTATTCTTGACCTAGTGTTAACGTGAGACTTTTACATGAATCAGGTCTAGCTCTGATGATGTCCAACATTTGATGGACGAAAGCTAAGCCCATCTTTACCTGAAGCTATGGAGAATATCTCGTGGACTGTGTCCATATGAACGTCGTATTGGGGCCAAACGGACACCTAAAGACGGGATTCAGCCGTCCTCTTCTGGTGAGATTGACCTTTAAATCTCATCTTTATACACTTTGATACCAAATCAAATTCTCCCCATCAACAACTACCATATCTTTGTATATGGATATTAAATGTTGCCATTTATTTTTATTTAAGGCTAAGGCCTTTACTCTCACCTTGAAAGTCCCATTGCTTTCTGAGTACATCTTTTAGAAGCCATTTGTTTACGCAATCCGGCGTCCCGTTAATCCCACTGTAGGCGCACATTCCTCCAGCGGCGCCTGCTGACAGACATTTATAAAATGCTGGAAGATATGTAAGCCAAACATCGGTAAGTGTCACATTCGCTTGGAATGAGAGCCTCGATACTGGATAATCCTCAGGGCCATTATGTATGGCGAAATGCTTACATGTGGCTGATGCAAGCAGCACTTGTTCCGATATACCTCTTCTGGCTTCGTTGATGCCATCACCGACAGTCATTCCATCCATGATGCTATCCTGTGGTGCGTGTGAATCTAAGCTAGACTGGCTTTGTTTGAGCATATAATATCCTCTTGGTCGACGGTAGCCTGCCAAACCACGAACAAAGGCAGCTGCCAGTTCTCCCGTCAGGTAGGGATCTTCTCCATATGTTTCACCATTGCGGCCCCAAAATGGATGCCGCATAATATTAACAACAGGAGAGTAGCAGTTGATACCAGTATAACACTGAAACGGAAGAAGGAATAGGCTTTGAGGCAGTTACTTCATTACTTGCAATCAAAAATATTTCATTCTATGTTTGTTCATAGGTTTAGTAATGCAAGGAGTCATCGCATTTAACAATGTATCCTATACATTATTAATTATTGCAAATATTCCAAAAAAAAGTGAACTAAATCAAATAATAAAAAATGTAAGGTTTAACACTGGATGGCATGCGAATTGGTATTCACTAAACGCTAATAAAGGTGTAAATCTTTAGACTAAGACAATGGTTCTCAAACTTTTCCTAGTCGTGGCGCCCTTTTTTAATAAAAACTTTTCTATGGTACCCTATCCTAAATATGATTCTTCGTGAGCAAGAGATAAAAAAATAAAATTCTTGTATCTTCATTATTTTTTTAACTTTATTAACATAAAATTAATATTTATTAATTAATGTGATGGATAAGCCTACAAATCACTACAGATTTTCTCTAATTGAAGCTTTTACAATATTTCGCGGCTCCCTGGGGCGCCGCGGCGCACAGTTTAGGAATCACTGGACTAAGATGTTGTACTCCTAATTTGGTCGCAACATGTATGAACAGAAATTTGGGCTAAATACTACTAAAGATAGTATCAATTATCGCAGAAATTCGGCATTAGCGAAAATTTGACTAGAAATCCACTCGAAAGTTAGAAAGTGACCAGAGATGGGAGGGCACAGTCTACTAAGGATACACGAATTTAATCAAGTTGACACGTGAAGACAATGGTTGAGATCTGCAGGTGAGGCGACTTTGTATGTGCTACTGAAGGTTTGAGAAATAGCGTTAGAAAGATGAGAAGTGGATCTACGGGCCAATAATGGAGATCCGGTTTGAGGATCCGAGTCGGATTAGCAAATAGAGAAAGAGGGGAGGGCGAGATAAGGCAGACGGCAGGTGTGATGATGTCACGCCAAACTCGCGAAAAAGGGCACACCTTAGGAGAATGAATATAAGCATGTTAGAAGTTGTGTCATGTGGGCAAAGAGTAGATAGATGGGTAAGGACAGAAAAAGAAGTGATAGCACAACTGTTTAGGCAGAATGTTTGGTCAAGAAATTGACTTCACTTGTCTCTGAAGCATTGTAACTTGCTGCTGAGAGTGGCAAGACTTACTGAAGATGCCGACTACAATGGTGGATAAACGTCTGAGAATATACTAAATCGATGGTCTGACGCAGGGAGTTGTGATAACTACTATAACAGAGGACTTCATATAAGGCGCGT